CTATGAAGCCACTATCGCAGCCTCTGTAACCAAGGCCACGCTGATGTCCAATGGGCTGTGGAGATCCTTTCCCAGGCAGTGTATGAGATCGCACAGCAGTTAGAGGAAGCGTAGGCTGATGTGTTCTCATAGCAGTCCCTGGATTCCTCTCTGGTCAATTCTCCCACCATACTTAGTGCAGTGTACTCAGATCAAAGATGGCAAAGCCACACTATCACCACCCCGACTGATTGGCATGTATGTTATACCCCTCCCCCCACCAATTCAGCTGTCTCTTTTCAGATCATTCCCTATCTGTGGTAAGGAAGCGCCTGGTGGGCACTCCTGCAGCCTAGCTGATACCAGTTCGAGAAATGTTTGGTGGGAGAAGACAACAGCACAGACAGACGTGCACATCACTGCTAAATTTCTAACAGCTTTTATTTGTATATACATGACTTTAGAGACAGCAGGAGAGGTAACATTGCAACGTCTGGAGTACAGGTACTGGTACTTTTCATGCCCATAAGCTTGACTTGGCCCAGTAAAGTGGGGCTGAAAGAGAATTCTAAAAATAAGCAGGAAATGCTCGAAGACAATATGATGCTGCATACCTCCCAGACAAGCCAAATGGATGCAGGGCAGGAGAGGGTTAAAAGCTCTCTGTTTCAGAGGGCCCCTTCCCCTCCCGCAGTAACAAGTCCTCCTACACTTGCCACAGATCCCTCCACACCTGGACCTTTCAAGTACACAAGCATTTTGCTCCTGAGATAAACATGCAATAACAGTACAAATACAAACACCGAAGTCTGAACTTCTGGTTTGGGTGACTCTGTTCTGGGCAGAGTCTAGGAGTGGGAAACGAGGAGATGGGGCCCATCATAAAAACGAGGAAGTCGCAGGACTGGAGTCTCAACAATTGCCCCTCCAGGAGGTCAGAATGCCACTGCTCTCCATTTTAACATGGAGGTTTGGCCTATAGAGCAAGCAGTACAACCAGGCTGCACACTTTTCACAATGGAGCAGTGCATGCTGGGGAGCTGCCACATCCACAGACTGCACCCTCCACGTTATCTTGAACATCAGCTTTATGTGATGAGTTAGGTGACATAGCTCTGGGTTGGGCAAACATCCTCAAGCAGCTACTGCTCCTCCATTGGCCCCCGTAACACAACACACCCAGAAGCAGCAGGCATGCAGGCGGGCCCTGAGTCAGGGTTTGGTCCTCTGTAGGGACAGGGCTGTTTGGCACAAGCCTGAGGTCACACAGGCTAGGGTGCAGGAATGAGCAAGTTACAGCTGATGAGTCCTTCCCGCCGTTCTCCAGCTCTGGGGGAAACTGGCTCCCTGCAGCTTTTGCTCTAGCACAAGAGTTGAGAGAAGCCACTACACGTAAGGGGCCAAATTCACAGAAACTGCACAGAATGTGCTACCCACTTTGGAGCCAGGTGTGCTTTATGCAGATTTCAACATCTCCACAGGAAGGCTTCAAAGCCTTAGATCTGCTAGTTCTTATACAGATTACACTTACCAGCCCAACTCAAATATCAAAGCTGCTAGCTAGGGAAAGTGGCTTCCACTCTCACTGGCACAGCAAGAAGAGCCACCAATGACAAGTTACAGGGCAGGAATAACCGCCAGGCCAGGAAAGGAGGACGACTGCCCAACATCTTCCCCAAGACAGCAGCACCCAATCCAAATCCCCATGGCTTTAGGCAATAAAACAAACCCCTGCTGCCCTCCCAACCACAGAGTGTTTAACTGAAGAACAGTCTTGTTCTCTTTTGTCCATGTTTGTAAGACCAGGGACCTAGATACAGAGAAACCCTTGCATTGATAATAGACCTACACATGCTCTCAATGCTAGCAGATCATACTATTGCTAGAGATTGACTGGCTATGTATTCCAAAAGGCTGAAAGCAGGTCCATCTTTCTACATGAAGGCAACTACAGAGTGTGTGTATATTCTGCTACAGAAGGTCACGCTGCTGGGCGTGACATGTTCGCAAGCTCTGAAAGGAGGCAAACAGGTTATGCTGCTTGACAGGACTGAAGGACTATTTATGTGAACACACCTGAAGTGGATTTGACTGTGTACAATGCATGCAAAATAGTTTTTTAGGAAAGGGCTGTCCAAAAAGCTCCCCCATAACCTTGGACTCCAACACCAAGCAGCTGCATTTATGGCCAGGTCAGCCAGTCCTCTGCATTTAAATGTAAGGTGCACTCTCTTGGGAAACTCTTAGGTCAGGGTTACATTACATCAACTCACTCCTACCTCCTTGTGGTAAGTTAAACCGTTACAACACTGCTTCCCAGGGTAGAGGAGAAAAGCACCTTTTCTTTTGTTCTTTGAAATCAAACCAATGAAATACTGAACCATTTGGCTTTGGGGAATGTCTGGGGAGTTCCACAATGAAAAATACAGAACCCATTTTTAAATAGGATCGGCTCTATGAGGATTCTTCTAACTGCATAATTACCTAATGTAAGGATTTGCCTAGACAGAGGGAGTAGCCAGGGGCTGGCACATTGCTCAAGAAGGGGCTATCTAGAGAATCCTGGTTCCTGATCCCAGAAGGGGAAGGACACTTGCTACAGTGTTAACAGCAAATGCTCTGACCTTGGCCATGCTTGGGGCTATAGTTCCTAAGAGTAACTTTTTGTTTCACCCAAACTAGTAAAGTAACAATCTCTGCAAACCAGCAACAAAACCCATCCATATAACAGAGAAAGAGACGAGACCATCCTGTACGAGCCCTGGGCAGAAGCGGACCCCTGGGGGTACATTCCCTTCATTCCCTTCTCTGCAAGGCGAGGCAAGCTGTGAGGCTACCAGGAGACAATGGATCTGCAAGTCTCACTTTTGGAGACGTTTACTGCCTTGGAAACATCAAGCAGAGCTGCTTGCAGAGCCAGCATCCAGCTCTATCTCCGAGAGCAAGAGGGAGATAAATCCAGCAACAGCTCCATGTTCGTCCACAGCAATTGTCTAGAAGTCTTACCACAAAGAGCAGCTGAGGAAACAATTTTCTTCATGTGTTGCTGACCTGGCCACCTCCCACTTGAAGCCTTTCTATTGTCACTTCCACTGCCCCATGTTGCTCTGGGTTCAAGGAAGTGCCAAGATGCAGGGGCTGCCCATGCAGCATGCCCACTGGGCTACCTTCGAGTTACTAACTCGCCCTGGATTGACAGCCAGATGTGAAAGTGCCTCACTTCCATCATGTATGCTCTGGGGGAGTGTTCCACAGCTGGCAATGCCTATGCACGTCAATTCCAGCTATGCCTGTATTAAGGAGGCTGCGGCGAGGGTGACAAGGAGTGTGTTGACGGTGTCTAGGAGGGATTAGCAGGAAAACAGCCATTCCATTTGTGCTCTAAGCCAGATAAGCAACTTGAGCCTCCAGAAGTCCAAGGCACTTGCATTCATCTCCTGCCCAGCCTGAGGCTCATCCGATGCCATGTCCTGCACTCCAAGCTGGATGGGAAGGGTTATTGCTACTGAGCAAGGCTGTGCATTGTGATCATGCTGTGTAGAAACGTAACACTGCAGCACTGGCAAAACTAAACCTTTCATTTCTTTTGGTTCTTCATGAAGCACAAACAGAATAAAAACCCCTCCAACAAGCAGAACAATTCCGTTGTCAAGGCTATTTACAAGTTCTGAAAATTTTGTCGGGACGGTCCAAAGGTACTTGGCAAGGGGAATCACATGGAGCCAAACAGGAAATGCACCATGTTGCTAGTGATCTGTGTATACACCTCTCACTAAGACTGAGGAGACTGGTGTAGAGACAGGAGTTCCTGTACAGTCCAGCTACGTCGGTGTGACCCTGGAACCAGGATCTAATACAGGGCTGTACTGGACCAAAGCCAACATACAAGCCTTGCCACACTCAGCATTAGGACTTCAGTGCAGGATCCAATGGGAGAGACAAGAGAGAGCTGTGACACATATCCCCGCTTCCCTCAACAATACCCAGAATAGGGGACAATGGGAATGCTGAAAGACCAAGCGATCACATATGGAGGAGTCCCCTTCCCGGTGTGAAATGCCCCTCCTTAGCGCTACCTGCCATAGCAGGGCCAGTGAGGAAGGCAGGCCACTAGACTAGGATTTGATTGGTCACAATGCACAAGGACCTCAATGCATTTCTGCCCAGCTAACTTGGACTTTGCTTCAACCACGGAAACAACTGCATTGCCTCCAGCAGCCCACCTTTGGCTGCTGTGTCCTGGCCACTGAGAAAATCCCATTAGCAGCTGCTTGTGGAGGAAGAGCTCACAGATGCTGTGGAGGGAGGAGTAACCTAACAAATGCAACAATACCATGGCCAAGAGCCCAGCCCCCATCTGCAAGGCTTGAGGGGGGCACGGGCTTTAACCAAGCTCAGCAGAGTAGTCAAGAGACAGGGCAGTCTTAAGCTTTAGCACAAATTTGAGTACTGTTCCCCTCTCTCCCCCCCCCCCCCAAACTAGCAGTAACAGGATTGAGACCCCACGGCCCCAAATCCTGCACTCTCTGCAGCAACCGCAGATGGCAATGCCCCCGCACATACGCTCCCCAGGCAAAGTGCAGTCAAAGGGCCTAGTGCATCTGCAATGCGCAGGGCCAAGCACTCGCCCGCATATGACGGTTTGGGTTAGAAGAGCTAGTCTCAGGGCCATGGAAATGACACATCTAGGTGGAGAATCCCTCTGACACAGAACACCCTGAGCCACAGGCACCGTGTCCATCCTCAGCTTGGAGACTAGACAGCTTCGCTCAAGCAGCTTAGCTCTGAGAGGTCAGAGAACCTCTTTTCACTGCTGTCACTCAAGTCCCCAGCACAGAAATCCACTTGTGGGAGTGGAGAATAGGGCCAGAGCGTAGCCAAGCCATGTTCAGCCAGACAGCTGTATCCTACCCTAACACAAGCCAGTAGATATCAGTTCCCTGAGAGTAGGCCGGGTAGGGGGTCACCATGCCAGCTGGGCAGCTGTTTCCACCCACAGAAGGGGCACTTCTGCGAATGAGCAACATGATGGGGACAGCCTGAAGCCCTCTGTCCGTTCAGCTAAGACTCTTCTTCCTCATTAACTTCACTAGGATCCTTCCAAGGTAGGGCTGAAACGTCATCCCCTCAGCCACTTCCCTTTTCCCACCCCAGGGAGCGTGACAGACTGTTCCAGAGTGTGGAATGGGTCAGCCCAGCCCCGGGAGGAGTCAAAGAAGACAACAGTCTCATGCTGCAGTGCCTGGTCTGGATGTGGCTAGGAAGATACTCCCATCCCAGCTGCTGTGCCTATGCTATACAAACACTGAGGCTGGGACTAGCTTGATATACCCTAGTGGAACAGCTGAGGTGTGAATTCACTTGCTGTTAACACTACTGCCGGCCAGGTAGCTGAACTCTCATTGGATCAATGCACCGAGGCAGGGTCAATCTCACAGGAACATCACGCTTATCCCTGGTGGAAGAGAAACTCCTTCAGGCCTGCCTGCCCTTACAGCTCTGCACAAGTTTCTCTGCCAGCTGCAGGTGGTGGCGAGGGGTGGTAGCAAAGCCTCCCTGACTGACCCCACAGCAGCCTGTGGGGCAAGGCGATTTACCCATTGCTGCAGCTCTGCAATGGATTTTGTTTGGTCATTTATTCCTGCCCATTTGGGATGATTTGTCAAAATGCTCAAACTGGAGAAGATAAATGCGGTATCATAAACTAACTCCCCAATCAATCAATTAATCACACCCCTGGGGCAGGGCTAGCTGTACCAACAGCTGGTACCATAGGAAACAGCATGAGTGTGCTGTGCCCATCAGCCCCATAGATACTTCCGGCTCATTTGAATGAATGCCCTTTCCAAATGACAGAAGAGGTTCAAACCAAAGGCTCTGCTGGGACTTCTGGGGAGCAGAGGCAGTGCAATTCCAGTCGGAACCCCCATCTCCAGCATGAAGGGCTGGCTTACTCTTCCCTTCCCTGTGGCCAGGTCTTCCTTCCAGAATGCATACACAATGAAGAGATTGATGCACAACAGCAGCACACCCAGCGGGGCCCCTGGGAGCCTCCTCCAGAAGGTCAGGCCAGTGCAGTCAAAACCACACGGGCAGCAGGACGGCAGAGATCTTCACACTCCTCACACAGCTCTTCCAGCCCAGGGGACAGTTATAAACAAGGGAGCGAGCGAACCATTGAATACCAAAGTTGTTTGCTTTTTCCTGCTCCTGCCACCAGGTAGGAATGAACGGGCACAGCCCAGGCCTACTGGTTCTCCTCCCGCATCTGTTCCATTATGTTGATGAGGCTTTCCAGCCCGAATACATAGCCCATGTCAGGTCCATCATGCACAGTGGGGTCATCCCGAAACCCTTTGAATGTGCTGTGTGCAAAATCAATCATGCGCACATCCACCTTGGGAAGGGCAGAAGGGCTGGGCTCTGTGCTGGTGTCATCCTGCAGGCTCTCTGGGAGAGAGGTGTCCACCCGCTTTAGGCGCATCTCTGCCCTGCGCTCCATGAACATGCCTGCCCTATTGTCCTTCCCATCGTAAATGATGAGGAGGGAGCTGGAGTAGAAGCGGTAGGATGCCTGCCTCTCCAGCACAGCCTTCAGGCTCCGGAGTTTGGCGAGTATGGGCTCAAAGAGGTCCTTGCGCAGCTCTAGGCCATTGTGGAGGTACTGGTAGAGGGCATTGCGGAACCCCTCGATGGAGAGACCACGGCCGTAGTACTTATTTCTGCATAAGTAATGTCCTGTGTCCAGCTGATAGACCTAGAACACCAGAGCTCACGTTAGCTGGGAAGCACGAGTGACACACCGTTACAGTGAAAGACTGGACTGCCCTGTGCAGTGACACTGAGGGGACCTCCTGACAGTCAACAGCAGGCAGGTCTGTCTAAAACCTTTGGTGCTCCTGGAAACCTTACAGGCAAGGTGGGACATTCCCTTCTCACACTGCCTGGGATACTGATGGCTGCCCAGGCCCGGTTTCCCCTTCCAGGAGTAGAGAGCAGCACATCCGTCAGCACAGCAAAGTGTGTCCAAAGTAGGTGGGGAGAAACTTCACACATGACCAGATGGATCAGCGCTGAGTGTGTCAGCAGCTGAGCCACATGGAATGGAGGGACTGCTAAGAGGGGTCTGCCCCTCAGCATGGCATATGACTAACCCGTGGCACACGACTAACCTGTGGCACTCATTGCTGTAGAATCAGATTCCAGAAAAGGACCAGGTCCTCCACTATAAACAGCATCTCCCCATCACACTAGCCAGAGTAGGAGTACAAGGACACTCAATCCTTATGCTTCAGGGCATACCCAGAAGGGAAGAAAGGAACTCCCCTCTCCTCTAAGTATAGGAAGCCACAAGTGGCCTGTGACTGTATGAGAGATGCTACTGAGACAAGACCCCAGGCACCACTGACCTGGCTGGAACAGGCATCAATTGCTAGGCTCTTCACTAGAGAGTCATAGACTTTAAGGTCAGAAAGGACCATTATGATCATCTAGTCTGACCTCCTGCACAACGCAGGCCACAGAATCTCACCCACCCACTCCTGTAATAAACCCCTAACCTATGTCTGAGCTACTGAAGTCCTCAAATCATGGTTTAAAGACTTCAAGGTGCAGAGAATCCTCCAGCAGGTGACCTGTGCCCCACGCTGCAGAGGAAGGCGAAAAAACCCCAGGGCCTCTGCCAATCTGCCCTGGAGGAAAATTCCTTCCCGACCCCAAATATGGCAATCAGCTAAACCCTGAGCATGTGGGCAAGACTCACCAGCCAGACACCCAGGAAAGAATTCTCTGTAGTAACTCAGATCCCTCCCCATCTAACATCCCATCACAGGCTGTTGGGCATATTTACCGCTAATAGTCAAAGATCTAATTTTGGCAATTAATTGGCTGTCCCATCATACCATCCCCTCCATAAACTTATTAAGCTTAGTCTTGAAGCCAGATATGTCTTTTGCCCCCACTGCTCCCCTTGGAAGGCTGTTCCAGAACTTCACTCCTCTGATGGTTAGAAACCTTTGTCTAATTTCAAGTCTAAACTTCCTGATGGCCAGTTTATCTCCATTTGTTTTTGTGTCCACATTGTTACTGAGCTTGTTAATTAGGCTTGCTGGATTTTAGCACTTCTCTACAACACTCAGTACATATGGTTACTGTGCAAAGCAGGCCATGGCCCATTCCACACCATGAGAAGTTACAGACTCCTTCATTCCAGTGGAACGGAGAAGGAAGTGATGTGTAACAGCATGTGCTCTTTGGAACACACGACTGGTAGCAGGCTGCCAAGGGGCTGGGAAGGAAGAAGTGTCACAGGAACACTGCCCAGCGGAGAGCACTATCCTGCTGTGCTTTCCCTAGGTGGCTGGGGATGTTCGAGGAGGGGTGTGGAAGATGTCTTTCTGCCACAGGCTGCCCCAGACAATCCCTGGGATACTGTACCTGCATTCCACAAACTCTCACACCCAGCGTGGCTGAGGTACTCTGTTCACACTTCTTCATCTGCCGAGCAGCCTTCTCTTCAGAAGCATCATCTCCATGCTGCCTGGTCCCCATCTTCAGGTCAAGCACACAGGGAAATCGGAAATGATGCACCACATTCTCCAGCAAAAGGAACTCTAAAAAACATGTCAAGGAGATTTCATCTCTCAGAGCTGCCAACCACCAGGAACCAAGCAAGTTATCTGGGAACTCCTGGATCTGTAATGCATGCTGGGGAGTGGGCACGAGGGGACAAAAAGGAGTCAGTGACAAAGCAGCCAAGAGGAGAGGAATATGACGAGCCCAGTAGGGAAGACAAGGAAAGAGCCCACAAGACAGTAGTACTGGGCAGGAAAATACGAGCCCAGTCTCTGTCAGAGGGCCCAGAAGGGGAGACGTGACCTGGTGACACAGATGGCACCTAGCCAGCGGGCACTGCCAGTGTCCTTGGCAGAAACCTGACTCTCCTCCCAGGTGCCTGGACAGACACTGCTGCAGGGACAGATGGAAGGAATAATGGAAAAGGGGCCCCAGCCTTTGGCCCAGCTGGTTCTGCTTGTGTTGATGGCAAAAGGAGCGTGTGCTCTGAGCATGAGCCAAGGGCGAGGTGCCGGCCACTCCTTGCAGAGGTGGGAAGCCTTTGCTGGCACCGTTCTGGAAGACGCAGCCAGCTGCCCTGGCTCTGCTTTCTGGAGGATACTGTAGAGCTTTCGGTCCTTGGACTCCGATCGCATGCGGCTCAGCTGCTGCTTATGGCAGCGCAGACTCCATGGGTTGTAACTGATCTTTTCCGAGCTCAGGCCGCTGTTCCCATCCAGCATCTGAAACGGAACATCGGAATGGATGTGCAGCTCCACCTTGGGGCTCTTTGTCTCTTGGATGCTGCTGGCACAAAGAAAAGAACACATGCATGCTAGGGAGTCCTTGACTAGACAGCTAACCTGTCACAGACAGGAGTTAGACTACAGCACTGGAACCCAATAACTTCTCCTGGCAAGGGATTATCTCCCCCATCCCCTCTCCTGTTACATGCCCTGACCTCCAACCCAGCAATGCCAGTCTCTGGTCTCAGTGAAAGCCAGCAATTCTTCCTGGGCGAGCCTGGAGCAGAGCCTCCATGCAGGAGGGGCCTATCTGCACAGAGCAGGAGCAGGATCTGTAGTGGGCACAGCCTTCTGAAAGGGGAACCTTCCCCTAGACCACCCCAGCGTGCAAAGGCAGAGAGCTTGCCCCAGGGACCTTCAAGAATGTACCACAGAGGCAGCTAGTCTCCAGGGGCCTCATAGCCCCAGCCTGAGCATACTTCAGAGAGGGAGGGACCAGGCCAGTCTCTGGGACGAGATGCTGCCTAGAAGTGGGCAGTGTGTGACAGCTAGGTGTGCGCACTGGGAAGTGAGCCAGGGACCACACTCCAGCAAGCTCTGCACTATATCACTGCCTGGGGCCAGTCAGTGTAAGACATGGGGAGTGCAAGGGAGAGCTATTCTGCCAGGAAGCCCCAGAGCTGACCGAGGGATGAGGAAGTGGTGTGCTTGCAGACTGCACTGTTCCCAGCCCCAGTCCTTTTACCTCTCAGGGTTGTCACCGGGCAGGCCGGGTCTCTCCTCCTTGTGCTCACCGACACTGCTGGATCTGTGAAGGCTCCTGCGGGAGTGCTTGCGCCGAGGCTGGTCCCTCTCTGGCATGTCATCCTGCTCCAAGGCCTCGCTCTCCACATAGGGATATGCTACCAGGTTAATGTAGCCATCACTGTCTCCCTCAAAGCAGACAGACACCACACCTGCCAAAGAGAGGCAGCTTATCTCAATCCAAGCAGTCCCTCAAGGGGTAGCTGCGCATGTCTGCGACTGGCAGTGCAAGAGCTGTCAGCAGGGAAGAGAAAGCAGACAACACCAGTACAAATCTAGAACTGTGGAACTGTTCTGCGGGAAGGGATCTGAGATGCTGCAACCTGCATGAGAATCTTGCAAAGGGAAAACTCCTCAGACAAACTACCCCACCCAGCCACTAGCCCCGCAGAGGAGGGCACAGAAACTGCGGCTGAACGCCTGCAGGCAGGGCAGCCTCCGCAGTCATCATAGATCATAGAATATCAGGGTTGGAAGGGATCTCAGGAGGTCATCCGGTCCAACCCCCTGCTCAAAGCAGGACCAATCCCCAAACAGATTTTTGCCCCAGATCCCTAAATTGCCCCCTCAAAGATTGAACTCACAGCCCTGGGTTTAGCAGGCCAATACTCAAACCACTGAGCTATCCCTCCCCCCATAGGGAACCCAGCAACACATCTCCCCCAGTTTGCAGAAAGCCTGGAAGTTTCATCTCTTATCCTCCTGCCATGTCAGCAGCTTGCCCTTCAGCTAATGCAGCAAGGTTCACCCTGCACCCAGGCGCACAGCAGTCTGTTTGCTGAGTGTTGCCTCTCTGTATCTTCCAAAGCCACTGCTCAAGGTGTGGTCTAAACCGAACGCTAGCAACTCCAGAACTGACACTGCCATGGGAGGGGCCCAAGGGAGGGTTGGTGCAACATCTCTCAGATGGTCACTCCAAATAGTCATGGATGCGTCTATGTGATGCCTTCAGTTCAGCAAGGTGCTTTTCCAGTCCCCTTCTAGGAGGACAGATAGGAAATTCACGTAGGCATTCTGAACAGCACCCCTCAGAGCTCTTGCTCGAAGAAGTCATCAGCAATTCAGATTTCTAGTTCACTCAGTAAAGAACATTAATGCACCTTTTTGCATGTCTAAATTAAATGAGTGCCTACCTGTGACAGCAAGTGATAACAGCCATGTGCCCATCACTGGAGAACCAAGAGAAGGGTCCATGGTAGTGAATTAAGCATTTCCACTTGAGATCTCTGGTCTCCTGGCTTGGCTTTTGTAGTCCAAAATTGGGATACATTGTTACAACGGACATTTTACCTGTCAGCAACATGATGAAGCGAGCAGAGGCAGCACATGCCAGACACCCCTTCTGGGAGTTATCCTAGTTATGCTAGCAACTCCATAGTGAGGGTGACAACAGGGTTTCTGTTTAAAGCCCAGTTTTCAACCCTATTTAAATCAGATTGACTGAAAATGGACATGGCAGTTCAGGACTCAGGGGAGAGTTCATGATGCAAATGTGGGGGCATTTGGTCAAGAGGTTGCTGTGATACAGCCCCATCAAACATAGGAGCTTTTGTCCCGAGAGAGAGAGAACAGGAGGAAAGATTCACACAACACTCCTATCCCTAGTCTGTACCCAGCGAGAACTAGTCTTCAGCTCCAGAAATGACTTTTTCCAGTGCTCCATGAGACTGTGTCCGGCTGTACACACTCAGCCACTAGGAGTGACCCAGCTTGTAGCAATACTGCACAGATGCAATCAGGGAACTGTTCTGCAAGCCATGACAGCTCTGGGACCCTGCAGCCATGAGTTCAAGATTCCTATTCCACTGGCTGCTGATAATATTTCTGAGCTCTACACAAACAGCCCTTTTTATTGAGGCCTCATACCCTACTGTAGGAGCAGGCAGCTACCCCACTGCCTCATTTTAAGAGATACAACAACTGAGGATGCAGGTCACTTCCGGTAAAGCTGGGGAAAGAACCCAGATCTCATCCACGTTGCCTTTGGGAGTGAATGTGCTAAATCTATTGCTTGTCTATCCTGTCTAACCACTGGATCACACATCTTGTACTGGTCAGGAATTCAGCCCCAGAATCCTGATCATAGACTCATAGAAGATTAGGGTTGTAAGAGACCTCAGGAGGTCATCTACTCCAACTCCCTGCTCAAAGCAGGACCAACCCCAACTAAATCATCCCAGCCAGGACTTTGTCAAGCCTAACCTTAAAAACCTCTAAGGCACTGGCCTGGGACCCAGGTGAGCTGGGTTCAAATGCGGGCCCTGACACAGACTTTCGACGTGATGCTGGGTAAGTCATTTAGACCAAAATGTTTGGAGGTGGCCTTGGTTTCTCTGGGCCTCAGGCCCTCTGTATAGAGGGTAACAGCTCCCCACCTCTCCCCGGTGTTGGCAGGGTACAGCCGGAAGTGGCTGGGAGGCATTAAGATCCTGCAGTGAGAGGGAGGGCACAGGTACAAGAACTACCTGCCTTGTGAGCTGCTGGGGCCACCCCCACCAGTATGGGGCTCACTGGGGTTCCCACAGCTTTTTGGAGACTCATAAGGGCTGCCCAGGAGTCGAATCGGCTAGTTTGGCTGCTGGCCATGGGGCCTCCCAAGCCTATTCTGGCGCCCTGTGCCAGTTTTGGTGGATTAGGGCAGAGGAGTTTTCTAAGGTTTGCGGGGAGAGGAGCCACTGGGCTGTACCTGGGCACACCAAGCACAGTGTACCTGGGCACACCAAGCTGCTGGACCGTACCTGGGCACACCAAGCCGATTACTGAGCCGGCATTCCTGGAGATGCGATCTTACTGTGGGTCATGGCACTCCTGCACCTGAGGCAGCCTCCATGCACAGGCCACCACAGTCCCCTGCCACCAAGTTCCAGTGATGCTTTGGGGGTGTTAATAATGGGGCAGGCCTGCAGCTAGAGCTGGGGTTGATGCAACAACTGTCCACAGCAATTGGCAAGGGTGTCTCCTTAAGAGCCATTGTGCACGTAAGTTCTCCCTGGTGGGGCTGTGGCTTGAGCAGTCAAGCTCCCGGTGCCCACTAAGGCATTGGACTCCAAGCCCCCATACTCAGGCATTAGAAAGTCAGGAGCTGCTCACTTCGGCACGTCTACCTGGGCAGTGACTGTGTGGCAAGCTGGGGGTGTAAATCGAGAGCGCTCCAGCGTGCTGCACACTAACTGTCTGGGTGAACCTGCTACTGTGCATTAAAAGTTCCCAAGGGCACTCTAATGTAATGCTGCTTCAACCAGCTCTACAGCAAAGCGCACGAGGTAGCTGTTAGCACTTGGCGGCTGGGCCCACGCAGCCACTCGGCACCACGGCAGGCTGGCGCGTGGCAGAGTTACAACCCAGCTTACTGCACAGTATTGCTTGCATGGAAATGCCCCTAGTCTCCCCACATGTCCCAGAGAGTGTGTTAGTGCAACACGGAGAAAACCATTAAACTTACAGACTCTGGAAATACTGTTGGGAGAGGGGCAGTTCTTAACTGGGTAACTCCACCCTGTAGGGATGGCAAGAGGAAGTAGGAATGTCACCGTATAGCTCCAACTCAGGGCTCCTCTTCAGACTGCTAAGCGGAACCCTGACTGGGGCCTGTGTAGAAGCCCTGACAGGGCAGTAATTGCTGCTGGCTGTGAGAGTTTTCACTCACACCTTGAGCCATCTCTCCTTGTTTCCAGAGCAGGGTGAAATTTTCCAGAATTTGATAAAAAGGAGGGGAAAGGGACACGTTTTTGGGAGCTGTTTGCATTTGTCAACTCTGCCTCGTTACCAGGTGCACAATCACAGAGAAGCCAGCACAGTGTCCAGCATGTTAGGTGAAGATTACCTCACGGAGGCACGACTGTGAGAAGCAGCACCTGAGCTAGGTATGCCCCACGTTTGTAAGTCTGCCTGCTTCCCCTTGGCACACTAACACTCTCTGGGGGTACCTGGGCAGACTAAGGCAGCAACTCCCAACTTTTAAGCATGCCATCCTGGGGTTCTGGACTCCCACCCCCGAAGGGCATGAGGAGCAGGCAGCCTGTTGTGCAGCAGTCAATCGATGGAGTTACGGTAATAAGTGGATAACCTAGTGCGCAGGCAGGAAGGGGACAAGAGAAGCCAAAGTCTGCATGTGCCATGCAGAGCACATGCCTCCCAAAGAGCCTGGGCCAGGCAGAGAACCAGAGTGGGAGTGGAAGGAGGAGAAGGGGGCAGTGAGGGAAACTAGGAGTTTTAGCTGGCAGGAGTTCTGCCCCTTGACTTGAGGGAGTAGCTTTGAGTGAGCTGTACTGACATGTGCCAATGGAGATGCTTTCCCTGCTGTAAACCTCCCTTCCCCACAGGTCTCGACTCAAGCTTCCACCTGAGGCTGGAAGAGGTGACCTGTAGTAACCTACCTCTAGGCTTGGAAGGAGCTGGTTTTTACCTTTCCCCTACACACACACAAACCAGTGAAAATATATTTCCATCCACAGTCATAGACATGTACAGCTCAGCAACGTAAGAAACAGCCTCTTGAGAGCTTTGCATTTGATGTAAGGCTATTTCCTTTGGATAGTATGACATCCGATGTTGACAGTGCGTGTTTGAATGGTTATAAAGCTTTAACCTTTTGAACCTCAACGTCTACACTAAATAAATGTCTGACTCCCCCATAATTTCCCACAAATGGGAAAATTTAAACTGATAAATTTTAAAAATGCTTAAAAATAAACATCCTCCTCCATTGAAATTACATACATGCAAATCTAACTCTGCCAAGCCTGGCCACAGGGAAGGGCAATTCCTCATGTCCCACGGGAGATGGAAGACTTTAAACCACAGCTAATTTTAATTTTTGGTCACTTTGAAAGATTATTGGTGCTCTTGGTCAGTCGGGTGACTCCTAGAGACTGTTTGCATTTGGAGGGTAGAAAACTCAGTTCCAAGTGAACGTTTTCACACTCTGACACATCTGTGAATAGTTTTTCAGCGACAAATGTGGCACATACAGGAGGGGTAAAGATTTCACCAGCTCTTTGGGATGACCAGCTAGACATCCATCAAGCTTTAACGTACTATCACTAATCACAGTAGCATACTCTGACCTGGAGTGCACGGTGAATCTGTAAATCGGACCTAGTCCCCCCCCATCCAGACTGCGGGTTACAGTGGTAATGCTGAGGAGCTGAGAAAGGCCAAGAGGAAACGGTCCTTCCTCAAGGGAGTGATCTAACTGCCTTACTCTGGCATAGACACAGCTCAGCCCACCCAAGACAGAGTCTCTTCATGTCTACAGGAAGGCAGGGTACCTGCAAGGCAGGTCAGGTGCACACCTGAAGGGGTGACAGCTCAGCATGCTTTGCTGCCACCGAATGCCCCCATTCCCCTGAATATTCACAAGCAGCAAGTGGGTCAGGAAAACCAGGAATGCACATTTTTAGCACCAGCTTCAGAACATTTGCCTTGGCAGTTTGCTCGTATCATTTTCCACACAAAGTCTGTTCCCACAGACGCACCCCATAAGAACCAGAGTACTGAAAAGAGCTGATACAGTCAAGCTCACAAAGCACCCATCGCCTCCGTTTAACAACTTTCTTGTTTAATGTGAAGAGTGGGAGGACAAGCCTTCTGAGACAACCTGGGCAGGGTTCAAAACAGGACTTTGCCGGCCGATCCACATATGCTGAACATGGCTCAGTCAGGAGCTAATTCAGAACTCTTCTCAGACTGAAGCATGGCACTGAAATCATCCCTTGATCATCAGCCACACGCTCAGCCCTGTACACACACTCCGAGAACACCTCTACTCACCACACAGTTCACATCAAATCACTGGAGAGCAGCAGTAGTGAAGGAAATGACAAACAGAACCTGCCCCCAGCTGCAGGAGCCCCACAGAGTGGGAAGCTACATTGTGCAGCAGCACTGGGGCTCACCTTTGTACTCAGGCGTGAACTCCTTCATTTCCGGGGGCAGGGACTCGTAGAAGCGCTGTTCTCGGGAAATGAGGGGCTTGCAAACAGTGTGGTCATCGTAGCGCATCATGCTGCTGTGGCCGCCCACCTGGTGAATGAAAGGCTCCAACAGGACCCCTCGCTCTCCGGCTCGACTGGCATTTTTGCCATACTTGCCCACTTCCATGGTTTGACAAACACACATTGCGTTCGGCACCAGTTGCACGCTCGGGGCATGGGGAGAGCCACATGGGCTGGGAGGGGACAGCTTCACAAGGGGCAGACAGCCACGGCTGAGAAATCCCAGGAATTAGTCTTGTTCCAATCTGAAAAACAATGGAGAATCCTATGAGAAAAGAGCTGTTCTCACCTCACTGTCTGGCCTGTCTTCCTAGTAACTTTTACCACTTTGCTTCCTTAGTAGAAAACTTGTTGGACTCTAAGGTGATCCGTCAACCATGCCTGTAGCCCTGCCCACATGGACAGGGATGCACACACTTGCTACTATTGGTGTTTGGATCCAAATGTCCAGCTCCCTACCCCACCTCCACGTTTGGCAGGCGCTCCAACTCTTTAGGGCTAGCAGGACTTTCCCACAGGGGTTTGTCAAGTGATGGCTGGAAGAAATCTAGTATTTTGATTCCACTTAGAAAGTTATTTCCATGTGCTAATGGATCTTGCCATTAATAAAGTGATGTCACAATTGCAGCATATGTTATAAGGGAGACTCTTCCCCCCTCCCCCCCAGTATCTAGCACTAGGAACAGCACAAGTACACAGAAAAGTCCTACAGAAATCCAAATCCTGCTATTTCTGCCACCACATTTCTAGGATCTTTGATAAAACTGCCACCATCCTAATTAGTCTCCAGTGAGGACTGCTGTAACCTCCTGCGCCTGCCCTCCTGATGGCACACACCGCCACCCAAAACACAGCCTCTGGCCCCATCCTCCTGCCCCGATCCCTCCCTACATCACTCCCCATCCACTCTCTCCACTGGCTCCTCCAGCTCCACTAATCATCATCTTCAAACTCCTTGGCTTCAGCTTCAAGCACAGCCCCCCTCCCCCCATTCACCCTGCCTCACCTGACCAGGTGGCCAATGCTGAGCTGTTTGTGTGCTCCGCTCCCCAGCCTCTCAGCTTCCTCTGTCCCCATGGACACCATCATCCTCACAGTCACTCAGGCCTGTAACCTCTCTGATTTGGCCTTCCCTCTTGACCCACAAATTCAGGCCATGCCCAAACCCTGCTGTGTAAGAAAAAACAGCATCTCTGAAACTGGCCTTTCCTCTTCACCAACACAGCTAAACTCTCACTCCAGCCCTCGATGTGTCACACCATGGCCACTGCAGCCCCTCCTCACTGGCCCCCAACACCACACCTTGCTTGCCTCGGGTCCATTCTGAACGCAGCTGCTAAGGTTGCCTTGCTGGCTTGTCACTCTGACCACCTCAGTTTAAGTCCCCCAAACGCTCTGCTCACAACAAAATGGACAGTAGAGACAAGCCCATGGCCCTTCCTAACTTAGCGTTGCCATACCTCAGTGATCTAGTAACGGACAGCACCATTAACCCCACCTTGCCAACGTTCCCAACCTCTACCGCCCAGCTGTCAGAGTCTCCCTTACATGCCTCCTGCGCACTCTCATGCTGCCCCTTATGCATGGCAGGATCTCCCCAGTAAAGCCCATCTTCCTTCAAATCCCACCTTAGCGGCTTGGTTCATGAACATTTAGTTTGAGTGCACTTAGTGTCCATGTGGACCTTGCTGCCACATGCTCCATTGGCTGGAAGTTGAAGCTAGACAAATTCAGACCAGAAATAAGGTGTAAATTTATAATGGTGAGAGTAATTAACCACTGGAACAATCCCTGACAATTTACAATTCAGGATGGACTGTTTTTCTAAAAGCTCTGCTGTGGGAATTATTATGGGGCAGCTCTCTGGACTGTGCTACACAAGGAGTCACACTACATCAGGGGTGGGCAAACTATGGCCCGCAAGCCGTTTTAAGCTGGCCCACGAGCTCCCACTGGGGAGCCTGGTCGGGAGCCGCACCATGCGGCTTGGCCCTGCTCCGGCGCTACAGCTGGGGCGCCAGGTAGGGGGCCATACCACATGGCTCCTGGAAGCCACGGCATGGTCCCACTCCGAGGGTGGGGGCGCTCCATGCCTAGGAGCCGGAGAAGGGACATGCCACTGCTTCTGGGAGCCGCTTGAGATAAGCGCTGCTCGGAGCCTGCACCCCTGAGCCTCTCCCCATGCCCCAACCCCCTGCCCCAGCCCTGATCCCCCATCCGCTCTCCAAACCCCTCGATGCCAGCACGGAGCATGCTCCTGTACCCCAAGCTTCTCATCCCCAGTCCCACCCCAGAGCCCGCACCACCAGGCGGAACCTGCATCCCTTCCCACACCCCTGTCCCAGCCCTGATCCCCCTCGGAACCCCTCGGTCCCAGCCCAGAGCACCCTCCTACACAGCAAACTCCTCATTTCCAGCCCCACCCCAGAGCCCGCACCCCCAACCAGAGCCTGCACCCCCTCCAGTACCCCAACCCCAATTCTGTGAAAATTCATGGCCCGCCATACAATTTCTATTCCCCAATGTGGCCCTCAGGCCAAAAAGTTTGCCCACCCCTGCACTAGATGATCACAGTCGTCCCTTCTAGCCTTGGAATCTCTGAGATCAGAAGCTTTTTGCAGCAGGGACCTGCTCCTTTAATTTGTGAAGGGTCTAACACGCCCATGGGTGCTGCAGAACTAAGGAAGTCACGTGAAGCGAAGATGGACTCTTGCCTGAGAGATGCTGATGGGGCAGATTGGCTGGCCTGCCTGCCACTCTCTGTCTTCACTGCACAGTTAAGTTGGACTCTTTCCCAGGTCTTAGCCCAACCCCCCCTCTGTCCCTGCACAAGACCCTTGGAGCTGGGTTTGGAGGTGCTTTATGCCCAGGCTAGCTGGCCCAGCTAGTGGACCAGGTTAGAACCTGGGCTCCAATTCAACTCAGGCTGGAGCCACCCTCTTTGTGTTGAGGATGCAGGCAAAAAACAAACAAACAAACAAACAAACAAAAACAAACAAAACACCTCATTCACATGCTGATAGCCCTCCAATACTTTTCCCACAACTTCCCCCAAAGGACAGACAAGTTCTCCTGCAAATGACACAACTGACTGGTCTCAGTACAAAGAACTATGGGATATGCCCCCAGAGACACTCAGGTAAGCGCAGACACAGTAAAGTGGGTAGATCTTTGCTGTAGGGATGCTCCAACCTGAACGAGGCTAAGCAGGGTGCTCAGACCCAGGTGCCAATCACTGGAGTGCAGACAGCCTCTGTGGTGTTTCTTGGAAGTGGGTCAGGGGTTTGACCCACATAGGAAAGGGGAGTAGAATTTTCTAATGTTTCCATCCTCTGCCTTTTCACAAGGAGGAGACCGGCAGAGGGGCAAGATGGTACTGTGCACAGGAGGTCAGCCACAAATTAGAGCAGAACAAGGCAGGAGTCATTTGGGGCCTCTTCCTGCAGTCTCAATGGTGCCTAGGAGAAGTTTATATTCCCAGCTCTCGCAGCCTGGTCGGGACTATCATACCATTTGAAGTTTTAGTGACCCAGCTCTAGGGTTCATGCGATTCCAGAGGAAACTCAGCTGGAGGAGAAAAGGTTTACAAGTGTGCCAAGGGTAGCTGAGGGGTTCAGATGCAAACAAAGCCCCCACCGTATCTGTAAAATCCTGAATTTTAAGCTAGTCTCATAATTCTGAGAGGCCTGATCCAAGTTTTGGACACATGGGTTTGGTGATACGGTTTCCCTACAAATTTAACATACCAAATCTCCTCTCCTTATTTGTGAGTAATGGGGCAAGGCTGCCAAGCTCTGCTCCCTGACCTGTAGAGTGTAATGGCATGTCCCGGTCTCCAAATGGGTACAGCACAAGTTCTGCTTCTAGGTCAGATGGGTTAGAGACATGCCAGGTGCCTGAGGTGGGCTTTTGGCACCGGCCCTATCAGCATGAGAGTCTAACTTATGTCAAGGAGGCCAAGCGTCCACACTGATACTTTGAAGCAGATCCTTTGGCCCAGTCTATTCGCTCAATTCCCCTTGGATTGTGCAAAGAGAGCAGAAGCCGCCTGGTGGAGGGAGTCTCCAGTGGGTGCAGAGCCAGAGTATTCAGCTCTTATGCCTTCCTGCCCTCTGCCCCAGTGTAGCACTGTGTTAGGGTGGGGACAGGACAAGGGCATATTGAGAGTGGGAGGGGCTGTGTCTGGTGCCCTCCAGCTATCCCTAACTGGCAAGTGATCTCTTGGGACCACAGACAGTTGGCACATGAGCCTGGGCCAGGGCAGAGAACCAGGAAGCTTGTAATGGATGGTTGCTTTTCCCCCTCTCCTTGTCTGCGTGGGGGGGCTGCGTGGGGGAGGCTCCCCAGTCTTAGGCGCAGTTAGTCAAACTCCTCTCCCACTTGCTGAGGTTCCCACAGCCCAGCAGGGAGGTAACAATGAACAGTCATAGGTACACTTTTATTGCTCCTGTAATGCAGCAGGAAGCCAGCAGGGGAGCTACTAAACAGCTGCAGCAGGGAAAGGACAACAGCTACTCACAGTATTTTGGTTCAGAGCAAAGCTGCTCAAGGCAGGGGTTGTAACTTGTGCTGCGGGGGGAGGCAGTGACCACCACAGTGACTGGAAGCTGATCCAAACCCTTCACTGTAAACGACACAGGGTGCAGCCCTGTACAGTCACATTGAGGGCCACAGGTTGGACACCCTGACCTCGGAATCTGCGATGCATGAATCTGGGTCCTGCAAGGGAAACACAGAGATGAGGTTCTTCCTCAACTGGCCACAAGATGTCTCTGTTGCTGCACATATTTGAAAGGATCCAAAGTATCTCTAGGATGGGAATAACTGCTCTGTTCTTCTAATCCAGGGGCTCTCAAACCTCATTGCACCATGACCTCCTTCTGACAACAAAAATTACTACACAACCCCTGGAGTGAGGACCAATGGCTGAGTCCCGCTACCCTAGCTGGAAGGGCCAAAGCCCGAGCCCCACTGCTCCGGGGGTGTGTGCGTGAGGGCAAAGCCCCAAGTGGGAGGCCTGTAACCTGATCCCCACCACACAGGGCTGAAGCCCTCCTGCTTTGGCCCTGGGTCGTGGGGCTCAGGCTTCAGCCCCAGACCCCAGCAAGTCTAATGCCAGCCCTGGCGACCCCATTAAAACGGGGTCATGACCCACTTTGGGGTTCTGACCCAGAGTTTGAGAACAGCTGCTAATTCAATCCACTCCACCGGCAAGCACAACAGCTTAGAACAGGCCTGCACAACTCGTAAAGCGGCGAGGGCCATATTACTCCAAAGAAAACAGCTGAGGGCCGAAACCCCCCGGCCCCGCGGAAACACCCCCCCCCCCAGCACCGCCCAGCCCCACGGAAACAAACCTTCCTTCCCCAGCACCGCCCAGCCCCGCGGAAACAAACCCTCCTTCCCCAGCACTGCCCCGCCGAAACAGCTAAGGTTTGGGGGGGAGGGTGTGTGATACTTTATTAAGAATTTTTCAATTAAATCAAACAATTTTTTTAATTATTTTAATTTTTTTTATTAATCATGGAAAAATTAAAAACATCTGTTCCGTTGAAAGAAAACATTTGTACTTTTCATAATTACCTTGCAAATTTAATGAGAAATATTACATCTCTTTTCGGCAACAAGCTTGTCGCATTTGGGGGTCATATTTGAAGTGGATATTTTCATAATGTCTTCCAAATGGTCGTCAGTCAGAGAAGAACGTTGCTTGTTTTTATTCATGTTCATGATGGAAAATGTTTGTTCACGTATGTAAGTGCATCCAAAAATGCTGAACATTTTCAGTGCAACTTCATTGTCCAGACTTTTGTAGAAGTCCCGCAAGCTGCTTTCTCTGTGCTTATTTCGGTAAACTGCTGAACACTGAAGTTCAATAACCTCCAACTGCAAATCTAGTGGCACTACCTCTGGATCCACAGAAAAGGGATCTTCAATCAGCTTCAACTGGACGTCTTCTTCTTTAGACAAAGTAAGTCTTCTGTCAAATTCTTCAATCAAAAGAATGATGTGCTTTGCGTATTTTTCTCCTAACTCGGCGTGTTTGTGCTGAGGGATACGCTGTGCACAAGTGGGAACGTGACACATTTCACCTTTTGACAGCTGACTTCTGAAAAGTTTCAATTTCATTTTGAAAGCTTTCACTGCTGCACACATTTGAAATATAAGTTGATTTTTTCCCTGAAGTTGAATGTTGAGATCATTCAGGTGTGCTGTAATATCACAAAAGAAAAAGAGATCTTGATTCCAGGACTCATTTTCAAGCTCTGGGAATTTTATTGGCCCATTTTCTAGGAATTTTGCTACCTCCTCTTTCAAAGCAACAAAACGCTGGAGCACTCCTCCTCGACTCAACCACCTCACTTCTGTATGGTAGATTAAGTCATTGCACTCGGTGTCTACCCCTTCAAGAAAGGCTCGAAATGTCCTATGTTTTAGTCCTCTAGAACGGATGTAGTTTACAATGGAAACTACCACTGACATTACATGCTCAAATTTTAAGACTTTGCTACACAAAACCTGCTGATGCATAATGCAGTGATGTTTGGTTATTTCTCTCCCGATAAATTCTTCAAGAAGAGTAACTGCTCCAACATTTTTTGGCACATAGCTGGAGCACCATCAGTACAAATGGCCACCAAGTTTGTGAAATCTAATCCCGACTTATCATTCGTGCACTTTATCACTTCACTGGAGATTTCTTTTCCGGTTGTGCGACCCATCATGGAGCACATGCCAGCAAGTTCTTCAGTAATTTCAAAGTTTTTATCAATACCTCTAATAAAAATAAGAAGTTGGGCGGTGTCTTTTAAATCGGTGCTTTCATCCATAGCTAGGGAGTAAAAGCAGAATTCACTGACTCTCTGCTTTAACTGATCACTTAAATTGGTAGAAATGTCAGCTATTCTTCTCCGTACAGTCATGCGTGATAGACTGACATTCTCAAATATTCCCCTCTTTTCTGGACATAACTCAGATACAGCAATCAACATACACTTTTTTAATAACTCGCCTTCTGTCAAGCATTTCCCAGCAGCAGCAATTTCCTTAGAAATTTTAAAGCTTACTTTAGTAATTGTATCGTTCTCAGTGCTCACTTTCTTGAAAATTTGCTGTTCTCTACTAAGGTTTTTTCGCTAAACTGGCTGCTTTAATTATTTTTTCATTTGGGCTCAATTTGGCGAGATTGGGATGCTTAGTTTCAAAGTGCCACCGAAGGTTGTATTCTTTCGGAACGGCTAACGTTTCGCGACACACGAGGCACAGTATTTTGTCTTTGGAAATAGTATATAAGTATTTATTCGTCCATTCAGTGTTGAAAACTCTGTGCTCTGATTCTATTTTTCTCTTTTTCTTTTCACTCATGGTATCCATTATGAAGCTCAAGATTTTGTTGAATAAATTCACACACAAGGGAAACACTCACAGTCACACACAAAGAGAAGAGATATCTCACGGCGCATGGCACACTAGCAAGGCACTGACTGTGTGTGGAAGCCTGTAGGTCCAGGGGTCACTATATTACTGCACACAGCAGTCAATCAATGCAGTTGTAGATAAATCTCTGCATTATGAATTTTTGTATAACTTTTATATGACTTTGTATTGAACCTTGGTACTATGTTATAGCGGGCTCCTAAGATAGTATAATTAAGGTAAAAGAAAAATTTCTTCTGTGCAAATTTTTGAAGCAGAGTTCAAATTTGTGTGCCATGAGGCAAATGCGCCCAAGTGAGTAAAATGCTTATACATTTAAAAAGTTTTAATTTGCAATTTGTGTCAATTTATATGGGTTTTCAGATAGACATCATAAGTAAAAAAAGAAAAACAAAAGTTTGTGTTTTAAATTGAAAATTTTCCTAAAAAATATCAATAAATGATTATCAGCCAAGAATAAGATATGTAATTACAAATGCATTTTAATTTCCTCATTGGTCGAAATGTCAAAGACGGCTAAACTAACCTTACTGTTTTTCCCTGCGATCTTTTTCATTTGCCCATTCAATATAAACTCTGTCCAGATCTATCAGTCCTCAATCCAGCTGGTAACTCTTAATACACATCAGCACCCCACATAGAACCCCCCACTCGCTAGTTTCCCAATACACACAGATTTCTCCTCCCTCCCTCCCAGTGCCCTTCCCCACAGCCCCACCACCACAACTAAACAATGCCCCACACAGACCCCCAGTGCCCTGACACACACAGATCTCCCTCACTGCCCAGCACCCCCCTACAGGCCCCCACTGCCTAGCACCCCAAAACACACAAACCTCCCCCACTGCCCAGCGCACTCCACACCCTCACAGCCCAGCACCCCCCGCACATCTCCCAGACACTCACTCCACCACACCCTTCCCCCTTCCCTGGCCGCACTCACCAGCCCTGCTGGGAGGTCTCTGGCTCCTAGGGTGAGAGCGGCAAGGGGAGTCTCCAGTGGTGAGCGGGAGCCGGTTCGCACCGGTTCGCGGGAACCAGTTGTTAAATTTAGAAGCCCTTTTAGAACCAGTTGTCCTGCGCGGGACAACCGGTTCTAAAAGGGCTTCTAAATTTAACAACCGGTAAGTTGAAGTGACCAGGACCGTAGCTGGGGGGGAGCAGAGGGAGCGGCTGCTCCCCCTGAGCACATTATCCAAAAGTGGTGCCTTAGGAGCCGACCCCATGGGTGCTCCAGCTCTCCGCCCCGCTCCCCGGCCCCAGCTCACCTCCGCTCCGCCTCCGAACACTCTGCCCCGCTTCTCCCCCCCCCCACCGCTTCCCGCGAATCAGCTGTTCGCGCGGGAAGCCTGGGAGGGCAGAGAAGCAAGCAGTGGCTTCGCGCTCAAGCCCAGGGAGGCGGAGACGGAGCAGAGGTGAGCTGGGGTGGGGGGAGCCGCCCGTGCCACAGCAGGTAACCCGGGGGGAGGGGCGCAGAGGGGAACCGCTCCCCGCCCCAGCTCACCTCTGCTCCGCCTCCCTGGGCCTGCGCGCGAAGCCGCCGCTTGCTTCTCAGCCCTCCCAGGCTTCCTGCGCGAACAGCTGATTCGCGGGAAGCGGGGGGGCTGCAAGCTCAGCCTGACCCGATGCTCCAGGCACTGCACGGTGGCGGCGTGGCCCGGCTCCAGCCGAGCGGCGTAGCTGTAGCGCCGCCAGCCACCTCCAGGCAGCGCAGTAAGGGAGCAGGGAGGGGGTGTTGGATAGAGGGCAGGGGAGTTCAGGGGGGTGGTGGGGGGGTGGATAGGGGTCGGGGCGGTCAGATGGCAGGGAACAGGGGGATTGAATGGGGGCAAGGGTCCCGGGGGGCAGTCAGGAAGGAGCAGGGGTTGGATGGGGCGGTGGGAGGCAGTCAGGGGCAGGGGTTCCAAGGGTGGTCAGGGGACAGGGAGAAGGGGTAGTTGGATAGGGAATCAGGAGAGGAGTTGGATGGGGCGGCGGAGGGCAGTCAGGGGACAGGGAAGGGGGTGGATGGGGCAGGGGTCCCGGGGGGGGCATCAAGGAACACGGGGGGTTGGGTGGGGGAGGGGGGGGGGGGGGGGGGGGGGGGGGGGGGGGGGGGGGGGGGGGGGGCGAGGGCTCCGTGCCCGTGTCCCGCTTGGGGCAGTGGGGAGGGGCAGCGGCGCGCGAGGGCTCCGTGTCCTGCTTGAGGCCTGGGGGTGCAGCGCTGCGCGCGGGCTCCGTCTCCCACTTGGGGTGGGAGGTGGAGGCGCGGCAGTGCGCGAGGGCTCCATCCCCGTGTCCCG